GGGCTCAGGCAATCCACTCACCTCAGCCTTCCAAAGGCGCGGGATTACAGGCTAAGCCACCAAGCCCGGCTAGGCCTCAAATCTTATGGGGCAAAATGGGTCAACCTAGAATGGAAATTTCTTTGACAAATATTTATATCCTGTGTGAGTGAATCCTTTGAATTTCCTTGTAGAAAAATGTCACCAATATAATGCTATTCTTGACTTCCATCAAGGGAGTAAAGAGACAATCCACAGAATAAGAAAAAATACTTGCAAGTTATGCATATGACAAAGGCCTAACATCTAGAACCTACAGGGAACTCAAACAAAGTGTGAAAGGAGAAAATGAAACATCCCCATTAAAAAGTGGGCAAAGGACATGAACAGATACTTCTCAAAGGAAGACCTACAAGCAGCCAACAAACACATGAAAAAATGCTCACACTCACTAATCATCAGAGAAATGTAAGTTAAAACTACAATGAGCTACCACCTAACACAAGTAAGGATGGCTATCATAAATAAGTTAAAAAACACAGATGCTAGTGTAGCTATAAAGAAAAGGGGAAACTTCTATATTGTTGGTGGGAATGTACTGAGGGACCACCTCCCAAAATGGGATTATCTCTTTTTTTTTTTTTTTTTTTTTTGAGGGTAGGCTCCTTGCAGTACACTCAAAATTTGTTCCTCTGGATTAAACAGTCAACCAGTTTTTATCTGAAAGTTCTGAAAGTTGCATCATGATTTGTGGAAGAAAGATCCTGAGTTGTGGCAAACAGATGACTGGTTCTTTCACCATGACAAATGCACCTGCCAACACCACGTTGAGTGATGATCCTCTGCCCCACCCTACCTAGTCACCCGATCTCACCTCAAGTGACTTTTTTGTTTTCCCAGATGAAAAAAATTATCAAAGAGAAACAATTTGTCGATGTGGAAGAGGTGAAACAAAAAATGGCAGAAATGCTAAAAGAATTCAAAACTGATGAGTTCAAAAACTGTTTTGAGCAGTTGAAAAAGTGTCTTGAAGGCATATTACATCAGAGAGTACTTTGAAGGTGGCTAATGTTTATAAACACATAAAAATAAATGCACAATTTTTTATAAGTAGGTTCCATTTGGGGATGGGTCCTCAAAAACTGGAATGTATTATTATTAAAGAATGTGTACAACTTAAGTAGCAGAAAATCAAATAACTTGATTAGAAAATGGGCAAAGGACCTGAATAGACATTTCACCAAAGAAGTCATACAATGGGTCAAAAAGTACATGAAAGGCACTCAAAGTACATGAAAGGCACTCAAAGTACTAATCATTTGAAATGTAACTCAAAACCACAAGGAGATACCACCTCACTCCTGATAGGATAGCTATTATTATTTTTTTTTTTTTAAGCCAGAGATAGCAAGTGTTAGCAGGGATGTGGAGAAATGGCAACCCTTGCACACTGTTGGTGAAATGCAAATGACAACAGTCATTATGAAAAAAGTATAGTTTCCTCAAAACATTAAAAATAGTACAACCATCTTATCCAACAATCCCACTTCTGGATACAGATCCAAAGGGGCTGAAGTCAGGATTTTGAAGATATATTATCTCTACTCCCATGTTAATTGCAGCATTATTCACAATAGACAAGTTATGAAAACCTCCGAAGTGCTTATAATTGAATGAATGAAGAAAATGTGATACACACACATACAAACACGAAATACTATTCAGCACTAGAAAGAAAGGAAGGAATCAAATCTTACCATTTGCAGCAACATGAATGAACCTGAAGGATATTATGGTAGGTGAAATAGGCCAAATGAAGAAAGACAACATTAACAGAAAGACATAAACCATATGATCATTTCAATTATAAAAGTTGTTTAAAATTAAAACGAAGTCATATGTGTTTGGAAAAAAGAAAAAAAAACCTGGGCCAGGTGCAGTGGCTCATGCATGTAATCACAGTACTTTTGGCAGGATTGCTTGAGGTTAGGAGTTTGAAATCAGCCTAGGCAACATACTGAAACCCAGTGTCTAAAAACATAAAGTAAATTAAAAATTTCTCGGTGGCTCAGCCTGTAATCCCAGCACATTGGGAGGCCAAGGCAAGTAGATTGCTTGAGCCCACAGATTCAAGATCAGCCTGGGCACCTTGGCGAGACCTCATCTCTACAATAAATAAAAAAGTAGCCAGGCGTGGTAGTGTGTGCCTATAGTTCTGGCTACTTGGAAGGCTGAGGCAGAAGGATTGCTGGAGCCCAGCATGTTGATGCTGGGGTGGCCGTGAGTATGACACTGCACTCCAGCCTGGGTGACAGAATGAGACTCCAACTCAAAAAAAAAATTTTTTTTTAACTGGGGACGGTGGCATGCCTCTGTAATCCCAGCTATTCAGGAGACTGAGGCAGGAAGATCACTTGAGACCAAGAGGCCAGGGGATGCGGTGAGCTATGATCACACTATTGCACTCTAGTCTGGGAAGCATAGCGAGATCCTATCTCTAAAAAAAGAAAAAAAGAAAGAAAATAGAATGACCATATTATTCATCAATTAATCCCACAATTAGGTATATATCCAAAGGAAATGAAATCAGTATATGGAAGAGATATGTGTACTCCTATGTGTATTGTAACACTATTCACAATAGCCAAGATATAGAATCATCAATCTAAATACCTAACAATAGATAAATGGATAAAGAAAATGTGGTACATATACGCATGGAATGCTATTCATCCATAATAAAAGAATGAAATCTAATCATTTGCAACAACATGTATAAACATGGAGTATATTGTGTTAAGTAAATAAGCTAGATACAGAAAGACAAATACTGCATAATCTCACTCATACATGAAATTTTAAAAAAAAACAAACAGAGAGTAAAGAGGCAGTCCACAGAATGGGGAAAAAATATGTGCAAACTATGCATCTGACAAAGGTCTAACATCCAGGATCTACAAGGAACTCAAGTGAAAGGAAAAAAACACCACCACCAAAAAGTGGTCAAAGGACATGAAAAGACACTTCTCAAAAGATGACATATAAGCAGCCAATAGAAACGAAAAAATGCTCAGACTTACTAATCATCAGAGAAATGCAAATAAAAACTACAATGAGATATCACCTACCACAGTGGCTATCATTAATAAGTCAAAAACAACATACTGGCAAGGGTGTATAGAAAAGGAAACGCTTAGCCGGGCTCGGTGGCTCAGCCTGTAATCCCACGCCTTTGGGAGGCTGAGGTGAGTGGATTGCCTGAGCCCGCGGGTTCGAGACCCGCCTGGGCAGAGAGACCTCATCTCTACAATAACTCAAAAAAATCAGCCGGGCGTGGTAGCGCATGCCTGTAATTCCGGCTACTTGGAAGGCTGAGGCGGAAGGATCGCTGGAGCCCAGCAGGTCGAGGCTGCGGTGGCCGGGAGCGGCCACTGCACTCCAGTCTGGGCAACAGAGTGAGACTCGAATCA